TTTACGTCTGTTTAGGATATTTTATGTTGTTAAAAGGCAAAATACAAATTTCATATTATTGTTCTATTTTAACAATTTGGATAGTTTCAATACATGATATTAAATTTGTTTGAATGATTGAACTTGGTTTCTATGGTTGATATGTGTAAAAAAGTTTTTGTTTATGTCTATTAGGACTATTTTTGCCATTAAAAGACAAAAATACAAAATTGCTATTATTAATCTATTTTAACAATTTGGATGGCTTCAATACATGATATTAAACTTTTTCAAATGATTGAACTTAGTTTCCATGATTGATATATGTGAAAGGCCCAAATGCTTTTATTGTCTACATTTGTTTAAGACTTTTGTGTTGTTAAAGGACAAAAATATAATTTTACAATTACATTTATATTTTAACAATTTAGATAGATTAAATACATTATATTAAACTTATTCAAAATTTTGAACTTAATTGACAGGCTTGATATGCATGAATAAGTTGTGATTGATATGTATTTAACAATAACATATGTTTTTATATAAGAGATTGAGATGGGTAAAAAAATTGGACGTGTGAAACTTTTTCGATTAACCCACAAAAAAAAGACGAATCTTACCTGAATGTCGAAACACAAAAAATTGTGATAATTTATTACATATGTTTTATAAAGAAAGTAAATATTTATTATTTTAAACATATTATGAATTAATCATTAAACTTGACAGTTTTATCTGATTAATTTACAAAAGAAAACGAAAGAGAAAATGACTGCTGAGATTGAAGTAGCATCTAATGGTTCTGTCAATATGCAAGAATTGAAAAATCAAATTTTCATAGAAGTTGTTGGAAAAGAAAGATATGGACAGGTCGAAAGGCCTTCCATTGGGTCCAACACCATCTAGCTACTATAAGCGTAGCTTTCAGTAATTTACATTCTCAGTAAGTTAGTCTTCGTGAAACATTTTTATATTGAGAGAGGAGTTGCAAACTATGCAACAATATTTCCTGTAATTAAAGCAAAAAGGGAGCATAAACGTGCTAAAATTGAAGAAGAACGTGCTATAATGGATCAAGAATGTATAAAATTTCAGTAATTGCATGATCAATTCAATACTCTTATGAATTTTATACAACAACAATTTTCAAAAACTAATCTAGGTGATCCACCAACTCAGGTATTATATTTAGAAACTATTTATATTTTTTAATATAAAAAACAACTTATTATTAAGTGTTAAAACTTGTATAATATTATTTAGTAGGTTCTTGAGCATGCTAGTAACCAAGGTTAAAAAAATCCTTCATCAAATGACAGTATTTCATATCTATGAAGTCATCAATTTCATACATTTTAAATTTTTTGGTTAATGTACTAAAATAATTTGAATGTTATTACATGTATTATTAAACTTGGTGTTACATGCATATTTGAACGAATTATGTATTTATAATATTCAGTTTATGAATTTAAGTTCGTTTTTATTTCTCTTTAACAGTTTTATTTAATGATAATAATAAATTTTAAAAAAATTTAAAAAGTAAATTTCTTAATTTCGAGGTGTTTGTGTTCAAAAATGCTACTAAATTCGAAATTTAGTGACGTTTGTAGCATAAAACACCACTAAATTTAGGGGCATTTTCCTATGCAAATGTTGCTAAATTAGGGACGTTTTTCTGTATAAACGCCACTAAATTAGCATTGTTCACTAAATTAGCAGCATTTTCTAATTCAAACAGCGTTAATTTAGTGGCGATTGTCCTTAAAAACGCCACTAAATAAAACAACGTTTAATGATACAAATGCTTCTAAATTAGTGGTATTTTTTATACAAACGTCACTAAATTAGCAGCAATTGTGCTTACAAATGCCGTTAAATTAGTGGTATTTCGTATAGTTGATGCTCTTAGTGGCATTTTTGACAAAAACCGTAAATATTTAAATGACGTTTATAAACGCCGTTAAATATTAAAAAAAAAAAAAAAACGTCACTAAAAACCTAGACTCCTGTAGTGTATGAACCATAAGAATGCTAAAAGGGAAGATGTTCTTTTCTTTATTGATAACATTTTCCATTCTACTCCAACAAACTCAGCAATGTCGGTCTTTCACCAACCAACAATCTTGGCTACCGATCTTAAAGGTCTTCAAGAAAGCACTACCATTGCTGTACAAGCCATTTATGTGCTAGCTGATGAATTGACGAAGCCAACCCTTGCAACAGCCTTCACTCATGAAGAGATTACAAGTGAGTTGCCGAGACATATTTTTGCTATGGATATGTATGTAATTGGGATTTTATATGAGTTCCAACATCAATTTCCTTCCTTCAATCCTGGAGGACAAGGATTGTTTCAACGAGATTGTACTGATATGAACTAAATTGGGCCAGGAGCTACGAGTGAAGTTAGGAGTCCGTTTTGTTATTAAAAAACCCATTTACATTTTGTTAGAACCAACCCATGTTGTTAAGACAATTTTGAAGTCATTATTTAAATTGATTCGGTTTAAAATTCAAATCAATCAGCAAATGAAATGAGAATTCTTAAAAACAAATCAATCTCGAAATTCATCTCTTGAAGCTTTATTTAAACAAATCTTATCGAGCTTAATTAGTGAATTTTGATTGAAATATATATATTTAACATTAAACAAATATGAATTACCAAATTTACCTGAAAAAAGCGTATCAATATCCTGATTAATCAGAAACAGAAGAAATTCTCACGTAACAACAGGTAGATGCTCACTTTTGTTATTTTGTAATCCCAGCTTTTTTTAATTATTCTTTTATTTTTAATTTTAAACATTATAGCATTTGCAGTAAAAAAATGATAGGCAACAGTGTGGTTGCCAAATCAGGCTCAAGCAAGCAGCTGTGTAAGGAATCATTATTGGTACGGTTTGTTTCCTTGGCAAGAAAAGAGATGTGAACGTCAGTCCACTTCGGCTAAAAAAGATCGCATTAACCTTCACATTTTTGTTCTTTCCACAATCATTCATTTCGGGTTTTATTTATTTATATATATCTTTATAACGCAACTAAAATACAATAATCAGTGTTTTACTTGTAATTTTTTAATTGATTTATGACTTGTACCATTCGTATTATTTGCGTTTATGTTATAATAAGTTTAGATTCTTCTTAATAATTTTGTATATGACTTTTAGTATCATCAGATCATATATCAAAAGCTGAATTGCCTCGTTGTATGTATAAACTGTTCATATGTTTGTATGAATAAATGCATTGCTGTTTAGGTTTTTTTTTTTCTATTGTTCCTACATGCTTCAGAGTGCTGAGATAAATTTAATAATTTTTTAATTTTATATTCAAATTACATCGTTTCACTTATTATCAATTAATTTTAAATTAAACTATTAACGTATACAAATTACTGAATATAACGCAGGGCATGTTTTACGTGGAAAATAGATTTTCCATCACTATTTCCAGGTTGAGGGGTTGTTAGATGTCAAGACGGAGGCCAAGACACTTGTTAGGGTTTGACAGCCCAGTACCTTTACAACTCGGTATCAAATAAAATATTAGAAAAGGGTCAACTTATGCTCGATATTTTAGAATACTTTGTGGTTGCTTTTGTTACTCTGAATCCTACTTTTCCCAACACAAAATCTGATGATCCTCCGGTTGTTCTACCTTTTCACCAAGTTACCGAAATTATCCCTATAAAGGGTCTAATCTTATCCACTTACCACGTCAGTTTCAAGCATTAAGCTCTTTCCCAGGTGCAAAGGCTTTCATTGAAACGACCCCTAATTCCCAATTGGATGCTGCCAATGCAAAGTACCAAGTTGTAAGTTCAAACGATTTCGAGAATGACTAAAGCAGGGTTATGAAAACTTTTCCTCTTGAATCCTGTTGAAACAATGGGACATGTCGTATGCCTATAATTGTCTTCAAATATGATAATTTTAAGAATAGTAAATTATGCCAAAAAAAATTATATAATTTAAAACTTTTATAAAAATTATATATAAATTTGATAAAATTAAATATATATTTCATGTTTATATATTTGCATAAATTTTGATATAAAATCATACAATATTCCACACGAATCTTCATATTTAATTCTTCTCCACATCTATTGCAAATTTGAACGAGATGATTGATTGATTTCGGAGAAATCCATTTAACTTGTGACACGATTGTATAACTAAAATATTGAATAAACGAAAAGGTTTGGTGTTACATTATTATCAAGCATTAGAAAACGAAAAGAAAGGTCAATAGCAGAACTTGCTTTTTGCTAAATATCAATTTGAAGTACGAAAAATCCAGCTTTATTCAAGAATCAATTCCAATGAAAAGATAGAATAAGTTGGATTGGCAAATAATGCTCTTAATAAGCCAACTTCACATAAAAACCTAGTCCTAAAAAAATCTAAAAGAAAATCATTAATTAGCCATGCAAACTTTGATTATCATTATAGGGTTTACAAGGAAGATAACGACGTTCTTGAGATTTCACATCGAATGAGCATTAGGATTCATTTGACTTAATTAGTTGAAGTAATAATATTCTAAGTAAATAAACATTGGATATATTTCCAATTTTCCGTAAATGAATATGTAACTACCTAGTCATTGTCATAGTTAACCCTGCATGCTGCCTAGACACAAATACCCTGTAACAAGGGAATGAAGTTTGTGCTTGCTCTTAATTTATTTATGCAATGATATCCCCCAAATTATGAATAGTTCCCATGTAATTGCTACTCTGCCCATGCGGCATGTGCAGCCCAAATGTATACAAAGTTCCTATATATATTTTAAATCCTTAATCTACGTTTTGATTTTTCTCAACCTCTATTTACTTAAGTCATCTGAAAAATATTATCCGTTTAAATTTTTTAAATCCATAATCTTAAAATATCAATGCATAGCATATAGCATTAGCTCAGTTTGATTGAAGGGTTTGGATTATTTGATTTCTATACCATCCCAAGAAGATCTTGGGATGGAAGCATGTGGTAAGGATGTGCAAAAGAATATGAAGTAACACAAAAGGAAATCCCACATGGCCAACCACACCCACATGCCAATAATCTTATCTTGACATCAAATAATATTAATTTCATTATTAAACTACTCATAAGATAGATAAGATATACCAAACATGAGTGATATGGAGATCCATTTCCTAACCATTTTTTTTCTCCTCTCAATTCTCTCTACTTTACCATTCCCCAAATCCCCACTAAACAAATTTGAAAGATCTTTGGATAGTCCAAACTCCAAAGACCAATCTGCTGTTTTCACCTTTAATGCTTCTGAAACTTCAACTTCAAATATGTTTTTTTTTTTTTTTGTACTATCATTTCATTTTCTCTTCATCCTCCTCTTCATTCTTGCAAGGCTCTTCAAATTCAGACCCTTCTTTAGGACTCTCCAAAGCCCTTTTCTCCTGCTCTTCATCTTCCACATCATCTGAATTTTTCTCCCTCAAACTCCCACTTTTCACATTCCTCTCTGCCCTTGTCTTCAATGCCTCCAACAACTTACTGACAGCTTTTTGCTTGTACCGCCGGTTCTTGATTAAAACTTCACTAATATCAGCTGGAGTCATCTCTGCACTGTCAACCACTTCCGCCAGTTCCTTCAAAACATTATCATCCAAATCACTTTCCTCGTACCCCAAATAATTCTTCAACAATATCTTCAATGCAGGATATGAACAATAGCTCATGTAAATATGCATATCCATCCTCCCACTTCTGAGCAATGCAGGGTCAAGCCTCTCAATGTGGTTTGTTGTAAACACAAAAATCCTTTCACTCCCACAACAAGACCATAACCCATCAGTGAAATTCAGCAGCCCTGAAAGAGTGATGGAATTTCCTCCATCTTCACCAGAAACTGAACCTGACCCCCTTCGCATTTCAGGGTCATAGTAATTCCTTGCGCCTGGATTGTTGTTATTCTTCTTCCTGTTAGTTAAATTAATCGAACAATCAATATCTTCAATCACAATAATCGACTTGGAACTTGTTTTCATTAACAGCTTCCTCAGCTCGGAATTATTATGGACCTCAGTCAATTCAAGATCATAGATATCATAACTCAAGTAATTTGCCATGGCTGCAATCATGCTGGATTTTCCAGTCCCAGGAGGACCGTACAGCAAGTAACCCCTTTTCCAGGCTCTCCCAGTCCTCTGATAAAAGGATTGACCGTTGGCGAAATCCCTAAGATCATCCATGATCTTTTGCTTCTTGACAGGATCCATAGCCAATGTGTCAAAAGTACTTGGATGCTTAAATGGAACCGACTCCCAAGGATATCCCCTGGAATCCAAAGATCCACCACGAGAATTCGTGTACAAAAGCCTGTCTTGATTCTTCCTTCGAATTTCGTTAGCCCTTTCCATTATGTAATCCAGGTAGGAATCAAGAATCAAGGACTTGTCTCTCTTCTTGATTCGGAGAGTGAACCCTCTCTTCTCTTCAGGCAATGGTCGCCAAGAAAAGGTTTGGGCTTGCCTTTGTGTCACGACGTGTTCCCAAAGCACAGTGACGCCATTGAATGAATCGACGATGCAGTCATTGTTCGAGAGACCGAATGTAATGGCGCTTGAATTGAGAGCACGAGTCAGGCTCAAGCGGCTACCGTTGATGGAAACAAAGGAACTTAGATAGAGCTGGACAGCGTTGTAGAGTTCGTTGGTGTTAACGCCGTCGATTTCTGTGATGTCAAAGTAGCAGTAAGAAGAGAACAAATGGAAGATCCGGTTGAAGAATTTGAGACAGGCAAAGCGGAGTTCTGGTGGGAAAATGACTTGGAGGAGGCTTTGGCAAAAGGCCAAAACCCCCAGTAATGAAGCAAAAGAAGTCCAATACTCTTTCATTGTGTTTGCTTCTACTTTCTGGATCATCGATTTGAAGAAAAAAGAGAAGGGTATTTACTTAATTTATAGACTCAAACTGATAGGTTGAGGAATTATTGAGTGGAGGGAGGAGGGAATAAAGCAAAAGGAGAAGCCCAAAAGGGATAGTTCTGAGATGGGAAGAGATTGGCTAGCTGGCTAGGGGGGATATAAGTACAAGGAAACCAACAAGGTGGAAAGGAGAAAAACAAAAAGGATTTTTGGAGTTTTGAGTTGGGAAGAGATCAGAGATGGGACCAATCTCTCTGTTTTGGAGGGTTTTGGCTGCTTATGGGGCTTTCTTGAGTGACTTACTGGAGGCTTTGTTCGGTACCTACACTTCCTTTTCTCATAGCGACTTAGCCTATTATGAAGAATTTGAATAAGTTGCTGCCTTGGGGGACTGGACTGCGGATTGTGAAATGAGAGAGATGACGTTTCAAGATTTGGAAAGTGGAAAGAGACAAGGAGTGAACAAGGTTAAATATGATTCACTCAAGGCCACAGGCATGGAAGAAGATAACAAGAAATACCCACTTAAGTGAAAATATACGTAATAGAGATGTATGTGTGCATGTGATTTGCCATTTTTTTTTTTAAATCCGAGAAACTGATCACTTGCTTAACCTATCAGAACAACCAGCAAACCACAACAGAAACACAGAATGAATGAATGTACAAGTATATAGATGGAAGGTTATACAATGGGACCCACTTACTTCATGTCAAACGTGTAACATGTTATGTTAATGATTTTCGCTTTTCAAAAACAAGATTGTTTCTTCTTTTGGCCTGCTATTAATTGCTAAACAATATGCCTAAGTTTCCTTGACTAAGGCCCCGTTTGGATTGCGTTGCAGTTTCGATGTGGTGGAATTTAGTTCTTTTTTGAGGACTAATTGTATGGTGGGATGCATTTCTATGGCACTGTACAGTTGCCTTCGGAAAGGGTATCGGATCCTATGACAGTTTGACTGTTATAATATAGAAATAAAAAATTTTATCATCCTCATTACATTTTCATCAAAATTCATTTTTTTTCTTAATTTTAATTTCATCATTATCATTTTAATGTAAAAATAAAAATTTTATGTTATCACTATATTTTCATTAAAATACATATATTGATTTTAATTTTAATGTTAAAATATCTAATTTCATAGTTATCATTTTCAATCTCATGGTGTTGTACTTCTAAAAAAGCCCTAAAATTGAGGAAAATGTTTTAATACCAACCAATTACTTTATTATCTGGCATAATTTAAATTCAAACTCAAATTTAAATTTGAATATAAATAATCAATTTTTTATCAAATGTAAAAATTAAATTTATTTTTTATATTAATTAAATATAATTAAATAAATTTAAATAATTTAATTTTTATTTTAAATTTAATTCAAATTAAAAAATTTTTAATTAAACTTGAATCAAATTTTAAATTTTAAATTTTAAATCAACTTTAAACTCAATTTTAATGATTTTAATGCTATATCAACTCAATCTCATAACGCCTCTATTCTACTTTGGGCTTAATTGACGATGGTGCTGGGTGCTGACTCTCAGCTACAACGCATCAATACGTGTATAGGTTTGTTATGATGGGCAATGTGCAGGAAGGTCTCTCTTCTCAGCCTATCAGCCCTGTCCGAAGTGGCTGAGAAAACCCTTTTAATAGCTTTGTTTTCTTTTCAGTTTTGGAAGCAAACCCCCCAATTAATTCTGATTTAATAAGATGGTTCGGTACTAAGATGATTATTATGAAGGTACAACTGTTACATTTCTTATAATGAGATACGATTCTCTGTCTGTATTATTTAAAATATTTAATAAATTATATATATCATATTTTATATAAAAATTATATATTATAATATATATTGATATAAAAAATATAAAAAATAATTTTCTTTTTTTTTAATTTTAAATGATAATATTTTTATAAATCTTTTATATAATTTTTGCATCTTGTCATTTTGAATTATCTACTTATAATCGTATCAAGCTACTAACTAAAAACCTATGCGCGTTCCCCCTTGCGTGCAGTCACAGCTCAAACCCTGCCGTGCTCTGCCCGGGACTGGATTCCTTTAAAACTGCATCATTCATCAGGGTTGACTGTTGAGGCTCCAAGAAGCACACTGCCAAGAAACTTTCAACATCTGCTCTGTTCAATCTAATTCCAATCCACTTGTTTTTTTGTACCTACTTGACTTTTGCTTGTGCAGAGAGCTTCATCTCTTGACCAACAGGAAGGGTGGAGAAAAGCTTGAACTAGCACTAATATATTAGGTTTAGGACCACCTTAATTTATTGTCCCTTCGCTATATGTGACCTAACAAACATATATAATATCAACAAAAAGTTATTATTATAAAATAAAATATTAATCTCATTACCTTAAAATTATAATATAATATTTAATATAATATTTAAATTATAATTTATTAATTAATATAATATTTATTATTAATATTATTAATTTTAAAAAATAATACATTACTGATGAATAATTTTTTAAATGATACATTAATTAATAAATTTATAATTAAAATATTATATTAAAATTTTTTAAAATTTAAATCTCATATTAAATTTTTAATATAATTAGGATCATTAGCAACTAATCATTATATAAAGTTAGAGTTTTATATTAGTACTTAAAAATGGAGGCCTGCAAACTGCAAACTGGAAAACTGTGTCTGCAGGAAGACTGAGGTCACTAGTCACCTGCAAAATAGTACCTTGAGCCAGCTATACATGAATATTATATGAAAGTGAAATTGTGAAATTAGTAGTAGTAGTAGGGAAAAAGAAAAAGTTAAAAGATTCCAGGTGAGGTTTAACGAGAAGAATCGATCTTTATTCTCCTCTCCAATCAGTTTTTGTGTTTTGTTTGCTTTGGTTTGGTTTTGGACAAGTACGGACAGACAGACAGACAGACAAGAGAAAGAACGAGAAGTGTTTTGGTAATAAAAGGAGCTCAATGTCCAAAGAGAATTAATTTGCAAAGTTTTATGAAAAGAGAATCCTTTTTGGGTTTGTTTCTCTGATCATTTTGCATCATCTAATCATCTGCAGGATGCCTAAGCCAAAATGAGCACAACCCTCTTCATTACAAGTAAAGCTCACCCAGTAAGCAACCGCAAACCAGAAAAAAAAAAAAAAGTGGTTGGCGAAACAGAATGGCAGTGGGCAAGCCGGTGGGGAAGAGATGTGAGAATTTTGGAGGAACACTGTCATGCCATTGCCAAACGCAAACCAAAGAATACTAACAATACCACTGTCTAAATTTTGGACAGAGACTCTGCAGCCAGGCCTAGCCCACCCCACATGCTCCTTCTGCATACCCTTGGTTTTTTTTTTTTTTACAGTTCTTGGTTATTTTGAAGGAAAAGGTGTTGAGAAGATGAAAGTTCAAAACGTGAAAGTTTTGTCAGTCTGACTCTGATGCAAGGCACAAGTGTCAAGATTTTTCACGTGCCCAGGATGGTGGGGTAAGCAGTACCATTATTCATATAGGTATATAGCTGTAAGGGCTAGAAACCTATAAGTCTATAAAGAGTTTTGTTCTGTTGGCTCTATTTCTGCCTCTAATTACTAAGGACAAACACAAAAGGCAAAAAGCTATCGAAAGAAACAGAATTGCCACTCGTATCAAGATTTTCTCTACTTTTTCTGATTTGAAGGAAAGCTACTTTTTTATGAAATTATTAGTATAAATTAAATTACAATTATATATTTTTAAATTAATAAAAAATAACACATAATTAAATAAAATTCAACATAAAATGAGTTTTATATTGTATGATAAGATGAATTTCAAACTTTTAAAATCTCCTTTTTATTTTTAAAATAATGTCTCACTAGCAAACTAAAAAAATAAATAATATCCAAATTACTTATAAGATTTATGGGGAGAATGTAATAATTCATTTTAAGTTGTTGAATTTATCACCTAACCAAAAAGTGTCATTATAGAAAATTTTTTGATTTCATATATACTCCTTGATTTGATTTTTAAAATTTTTATTATTTTAAATCCTTTAAAAATATATTTTTTTAATTATTTGGATAGTATTGATTTTTATAAAATTAAAAAATTTTAATTTTAATGTATTTAATATTAAAATTAAAATTTTTTATAAAATTAAATTTTATGATTTTTAATGTTAAAAATAAAAAAATCATAAAATATAATTTTAAAATATAAAAAATAATAATTTAAATATTTAAAATATATATCATTTTAAAACATCTCCAAAAAAAAAAAAAAAAAAAGAAATAAGATTTTCATAGAAAAAGGGACGTTCATGGTGAAAATCTTTGCTAAAAGTAATTAAAAAGGATGGTATGGATCGAACCACTTTTATGCTTCTAGAAATCTCTTATTTATGTTTAAAACATAACCTCAAATGCTCAGAACTAAAAAAAAAAAAAAAAAAAATCCGAGCAAGCCTTTAGGGAGAATCCTAGGGGCAGTCGTTTATGCAACCGCTCCAGAACACGTGTTTGTTTAAAGAGCCACGTCATGCGTATGCTGGTCCCTTCTTTTGTCTTTTAATAAGTTATCCCAATTTCTTTTCTCTTTCTTACCATTTTGAATATGCTTCTCATTTATCGTGGTGGCCGATCTTCTATTTCTCCATTATCTTGTAAAAGTATAATCATTTTCGTTTCTTATCTTCCGTTAGTGAAACTAATTGCATTAAAGAGTACAATTTAAAACCAATTTGATCTAAGCTTCATCGTTTTTGTTTAGTTCTTCAAAGTTTTTTTCTATCTTTTTCATGTTTGAGCTTCACCATCCTCAACTTCTCTACGTACCTATGCTTCGTTCAAATTTAATCAAAAGTATCGAACTTAAGACATGAAAAAAGTTGGGCCTTGGTATTTTTGCAACTGGCGCCACAATAAGTTTTTGGTTACAATGTATAGATAAGTTTATATAGGAGTTTGCATACCAGCAGTTTGATGAAATGCTTAAGAAAATGGTCTGTTTCTCAGCTTCAAAGTTAATTTATTTAAAAAATATTTTTGGGTATTCTTTCTCTTGTTTTATTACAATATCTGATTAAAATCTCTAAATTGTATGTGATCTATAGTCGTGTTAATTGCAAAAGTGGATTAGCTCAATAGAAACCTTCAATTCTAGCATAATTTTTCATAGCAAAAATGTTCACCTCATCTTGCCTCAAACAAATATCTGCAAAACAGGTTAAACCTCCAATAATAAATAGATTGCAAAAACCTCTAGGGAAGTTACAGAAAAAAGATTAATTTATATTACCTTGTAACTAATTTTGTCAAAAAATATTCCCAAATAAGCATAAAATAATGAATATTTTCTCCTTCATTTCGTTAGAAGCTTTAAAAAAGATTTTATTTTTACTTTTTAACTTTACCTTTTTGTTATTTTTGTAACTATTTTATAGATGGATTAAGGGTGGAATTAAGTGAAAAAAAAAGTTATTATTATCCGTTGTCTATTTTGAGTTCAAAAATGACTAAATGTGGCTTTTCAAATGAGCGGGGGTGTTGGTAAAAATTAAAGAATTTTCAAAACAATTGAAAAATAAAAAAACAATTTCAAAATTTTTAGGTTTTCTTAATTATGGAAAATAATTCATTTAAAAAATTTTTAAAAAAAGATAAAATTTTACAAGAAAAATTAAAAGAAAGATATAACTTTTTTTTTGACAAAAAATGATTATGATATTATTAAACAAATAAAATCATATCTTAAATTTATACTTAGAGTATATTTTCACAAATTAAGAAAATTACTTTTTTATGAATCAGATGCTTCAAACTAATATTGGGATGTGTAATTAAGTTAAAAGTACATAATTAAGAATTAATTTATGGTTACAACTTAAAAAAATTTAAATCAAACAAATTAAAATATATTATATTTGAAAAAGAGTTACTTCTTATAAAAAAAAGTTGTAACTAGATTTTATATTTATCTAACATCTGAAAACTTTATTATTAGAATTGATAATCAGGCAGTTAAAATTTGTTTTAAAAATAAGAGATTAAAAACTAATCCTAGAAAGATTAGATGGAATACATTTTTTCAATATAATTTTTTTATTGAATTTATTAAAGGATCTAATAACATTCTTGCTAATTTTTTAAACAGGTCCAATGGATCGAGGTAAAAAACCTATAAAACAAATTGGTGAACAAACTACTATAAAAAAAAAAAAAAGCAACCCAAACAAGGTTATTCTTTTAAACATGTTAATCTTAACTAAGGATTAAGATTTCAGTCCTTACCCAATCATTAATTCCATATCATAATCCAAGATATTTCTTTTATCCACAACCATACATGCAAATGTCAAGAATTTCATCATAATAAGTAATAGAACATTATAAGTTATCTCAATTTTCTCAAGATCCAAATCAATGAACTCCAATGTCATATTTTGAAGGCTTAAAGAAAAAAAAAATTTGTTAAAACCACAACTAACTTTTTAAAAAATTAAATATTTTTATAACTCATGAGTCATGATGACCCTATGAGTTATATAATCTCATTAATAAAATTTGAAAAACCCAACTTCAAGGTAATAAATCGAAAAGATATGGCTAAGATTGTGGAAGAATTAACTAAACAAATTAATAAATTTCAAACTTTTCAAAATTTTGTTTTAGATATCTTAACTTTAAGAGAGTGAGCCAAACCACAAATTTTTAAATTTGATGAAAAAAATACTCCCTTAAAGAGATAAACGATCTCTCTAAATATTTGTGATTTTCTTATAGAAGAAAAAATAATTTCTTCTTCTATTTTACAAATTTTAAAAATTCTTTTATATAAAAAAGCTAACAAAGTCTTTCCCAATTAATTGTTTAATAAAATTAAATATTCAATAAGAGATAAAGTAGATTATCTACTTCATGAAAAATTTCAAGAATATTTCCTTTTTATTTATCTAAAAAATCATGAAATTTCAAGAAGATTTCTAAAATTAAATTTCAATAATGGCTTTTATGATATAACCAATATCAAAATGGGTTTTATAGGAATAATACTTTCCAAAATTTATCATTTTATTTAATAAGGCATTTTCTTGCCTTTTATCAAATCAAAATTTTTTTTTGTTAAAAATGATAAATATTTTTCTTATGTGCATATTAAAATAATTAGTTTAATAAGACTCTTTTAAAGAGATAGATTTTTTCATTTATATCAAATCAGAAAGGTAAAAAAAATGCTTGATGGACTAAATTTATTGACACCAAATAAAAATAAAAAAATTTAAAATTTATTTTTTCAAAATTTAATATAATTTATATAATTTTTAAGCTGGACTTACTATAATAGAAAAGATAAAAAAAATTATTAAATAAAATTTCATTAAATTTACAAATTCCTTGTATCACTACAATAAATGATAAAAAAAAATTTTGTAAAAAAGTTTTATAATAAAAATAATCCAAAACCAAAACCTAATACGGTGTAACTTCTACAAAAATGTCTAAAATGAAAAATCTGGATTACGTTATTTTTTTACTAAAAAATCTAAAATTAATAATCAGTGAATTAAAATTTCTTAAAAAATAAAAAGTTAATAACTAATCTTAAAAGAATTAAATTATATAACTTTTTATGTCGATATAATTTTTTATTAAATTTATTAAAAAAATCTATTTTTACTGATTTTTTAAACAGATCCGATGAATCAAGGCAAAAAACTTCTAAAACAAATTGACAAATGCACTACTGCCAAAAAGATACAAACCACCCGACCTACAGCATTAACGTTCGGCAAGAAAAAGTGCTGCTGTGTTATCATTATAAAATTCTTCAAAATCGGGTTCAATTTTCCCACCAACCTTTTGGTAAAAACATTCATCAGCTCAACAACTGATCTTTTCTCTTAATTTTTCAATACAATAATCTGGGTAGATAACAACTCTCCCATGGGTTCGGGGTTAAAATATTGAATTCAAGCTGCTACTGAATGAGACCAAACAGATCTTCCTGGTGAAGGTAGTCAAGGCTTGAGAGCAAGGGCAAGCCCCATCTTAGGGGATGCATTGGTGGCCTTTGAATCATACTCCGCTGAGAAAGTTACGAGTGATTTGGGCCTCCATTCACGTTGGCATAGCATTGCAACCTTCCCATTGTCAGAGAACCGAGTTTTTATCACAGTAAAAGGATCCACAGCATGGGAACTTCCAATGGAGAAATTGTTTTCATAGGTGGAAAATCTATGAGTCATTTCAGCAGCAACAGAAGTGAAAGGGTTGACAGAATGGATATAAGATGCCTTCAGTGCCTGTCCTTTATCAGTCCTAAATAGAGAAAACCATGCATTCAGAAACTTAAAGGCAAGACCTTAATGGCAGCAGGAAAGCACGTAAAACAAGAAATGGGGCAGAAAAAGTGGACAAACAAATCGGATGTGCCATAGGAAGTCTGATAAGACATGTTCTAAATTTAACCTACAGAAACTAAGTCGCCTATAATCTTTCTTTCTTATTGTTAAATTGCTCATCACAATGACAGCAAATGGAACTCTTAAAGTCGCTGCAGCTAACTAGTTATTTAGTTCATCTCAATTGGCCCCATGCATCTTAAAATCTCTCTAAACTGTTCTGCATACTTATTTTTGCCTCTTCTAAATGATCATATCACACACCCTATTTCAATATCTCAAAGGAATCAAGATGAGGTTTACCACAATAATGATTGTCAATAAAATAAATTGGAATCTTAGAACTAGAAGAAACAAAAACCTCACAGATAGACTGAAAGTGTATATACTTGGTAAGTCAAACCAAGATAACCTTCAAAACAAAGAAAATATAGCTTACCGCACAAAGAATCACCAGATTTAGACCATCTGTCAAGCATGATACAACAACAAAACTCATCAAACTCTTTGCAGAAACCTATATCAAGATTGCTCACATCTTCTCTAAACTCTTTACAGCAGATTAAATCATGATTGCCCCTTCTCTAAGTTACATGAAATACAAAAAAATATCAATATTGATAGTAACCATCTCTAATTGCTATGTCTCCATGATGCAGAAAACATAAACAATAACAAGAAAGATTTACTTCAAAGGAATCTAAAAGGAAATTATGATGGTCACTAATTTTCTAAACAAGTTCCATTTGGACCATTAAGCTTCTATTTATACAATTAGGTCACCGAATATCTCAATATGCAAGAAATTAGGTCATTCTAGTGTTACAAAGAGAAGAGACAGCTGATGTGGCCACCACATAAGCACCGAACTCAATGCCAATGAGTAGTAGGCTACTTTTTTCTTTTCTTTCTTTATATTCTTCCATTCTTCCTTTTCCCCTCTTTTTTCTTTAGGTGACCTTATTTCCATGCACACTTCTTCTTTAAGGCAAATCAGTCACTAGTACTTACATGAGAATCCTGCACGCACACACATGATAATTGACATTTAAGTTTAAGAAGACAAAATGTGTGGATTTAGGATCACCCTTTTTCTTTTACTAATCACAATGTCCCTAACTTAAGCAGCCCCTTAACTCTCTGCCCTCCCTCAAGTCATACCTTTTGACTCTCTCTCTCTCTCTCTCTAACACCTTGGAACCACTTTTTTTGCAACCCAAATTTAAACGGGTTACACCAATTTCTTAGCTAAAAACATGCGTGCAAAATACAAACATCTTGATCACTTGATTTTGATTCTTTGATTCAAAGGTGTTGCACTGATTACTAGATGTATTAGCTAGCAGACTCCATTATATTTTAATTTGACCCAACTTTGTAATGTCTTCAACCAAAATTCACCAAATGTCATTTCACATGAGTAGGTTGTGTTTATTTGAGAGTGGAAAGATAGGGATGTCGGCACAAGGGGGGTTAGGGTTAAGACATTCAGGCTTCTAGAGGATAAAAGAGGAGAGAGAACACAAAGTCAAAGAGGACGGTGGCAATAAGTTGAAATAGAGGGCAAAAACTGAGAGAGGTTGGGCCATTGCAAATTCAGCCCAAAACAAAATTTGGCCAAAAAGAATGACAGACAAATTAACTCTCTGTCACTCACTTTTAATGAACAAAATGGTGGAAGTACTGGATTTCTTACATACCAAACTTGGAGAGAAAGGTTGGATTGAAGTTTAGAGATCCACATGCATTTATTGAAAGACCAATGACTCCCAGTCGATTTACCCAAATCTAAATCTAAAGCATTTGAGGCTTATTCGAAATTGAAACCTTTATAGAGGCTAGAATATTGTCAATGGATAGTTATGAGCGTGTAGCACTCCCAACAATCAATTTTCATCAATATTGATCTTTTCCACTTCAAATCAATTATCAAAGCTGTTTACCTTTCTACCTATGCCTAAAATTTGTATCCCCCCCCAATACACAGACAAATAAATTAACCAATTTTTGGCAAATAATAATCCTTGGAGCAGCTCATGAACCAATGTGTGTTCTCGAAGCAGCAGTTTTCTGAAATCTACCATGACAGGAGGGGAAAATAAGAGCTATTATTAGTAGGGTTCAACTCCTATTTTATGAGGAAACTATGAACCAAAAAAAAAATGCAACAGGATATTGGGAGTTGACCATCAAGCATTTTACAAAGTGGGAATACAAAAATTTGCATGAATTAATTCTTCTATTATTCCTAAAACTTGAAGAAGAAAGAAAACAAGCCTGTTAGTCTCATAATAAGTCACAGAACATTATAACTGGACATATCACATTCACTCGATTTACCAGTAAACAACAGAGATTTCCTGTCCATTAGTGTACTCCTAAGAAAGGCAGGCAAAGGAAGTATTGGGCTATTCTATGCACCATAGAGAAAAGGAAAAAATCCGTTCTTTAAAGACTTCCAAATAAAACCACAGTTCACTTTGAGGTCCAGTTCATAGCAATTCAATGTCATTCAAAACATTGTCTTGAAAGCTTAATCACAATTGTCAGAACCTATTACAATGACATGTAGTTATAGCATAACAATCAAAATTTAGATATATTTGCATTGCCTTGCATTAATTTATACTGCACGCCTTTGTAGACAATAGTTTAAACTGTACTACGATGGCTAATAAGTAGATATTCCTGTACTCCATGCACAAATTACATTGGACTTTCTTAAGAGATGACAATTAACACCAAGTATACTCTTACAAAAATTCCCATTACTCAACCTACCTTAACCTTGGTTGGTAAATTTAAAAGACAAACAATTTATTCTAAAACAGAACAATCACTATTTAGGTATTAATCAATTGATTCAAAGGGAGGGAGAGAGAGAGAAGCCTTTTTCTAAGAGTACCCGAAGTTCGCCTTCCTCCACAAGTAAATGTAATATCTTCTTTGTTTTTTCCCCTTTCAATATTTTTCCATGACACCAAAAGAAGAGGCATTTCACTGCCAACTCTCTGATTTGATCAAAAGTAAAAACTAAAATGTTTTTTTTCCCATTCAGTATTGGAGATCCCTGTTAAAATTTAAGCCAGTTGGGCTCAAAACTAAAACCATGCTGACTAAGACAAAGGATATTTTATGGAAAATACCATGGACATCACTTGTAAGATCAAAAGCCATATATCAGAATAGGGAAAACAGTAGAAACAAGTCCTAAGACAGAAACATGAAGCCAGCAACTCCCTCAAAGAAGGGAGAATTGCTGTCACAAATGGGTTTCTAAAGGCATATAGATATGCTACAATAATTTAGAATTATCAATTGTAATATTGTTTAGCATCATATACGCTTCTTTGCTTCAATTTGATTTTTGCAAAAAACACACACCAGATTTTCTCTGTTTTTCCTTTTTGATTAGTCAGGTTTTTTCTTTTTTCTTTTTCCTTTGATATAGCAATAAGTCTTGACTTAGTGAATCTTGTTTATAAGTACATGAGAGTACAACATTGGTTGTGATCTCCTTAAAAGATAAAATGCACTTTGAAAGATATAAGAATAGGTGCAATGCAACCCATATGTAGGATCATCTTGATCCAACTTTAGCTCTTCTACAATTCTAGCAAGATCGTATAAAATAATTGCTCATGATGTAGCACTTGTCAACTCAACTTAAGGCATCAGCATAAGCAAAGACACAACCACACAAACACACAAGATAAAAAGAATAAATATCTCCTTAGGTAGATGGTCTAGAAGTACTTACAGTAAAAGTGCAACAGAGAAATCTGGCTTGTTCAAGCCAATCCCAGCAGTGTACTTAGCACAGGAAGCAGAAGCTGTGTCAAATCCAACTTCACCACCCAAAGAAAGCTCCTTGCTTCCAATTGTTGCTGAAAGCTCCAATAAGGGAGTTGGATTCAGGCCAATGCTAGAATCAATGGCTGCATGAGGATGAAGGTATTGGACATCCAGCTGAGATATGATGCATTGAAAGAATCAGAGATCTATTTTCTCAAACACAAAATTATATTACCAACATTCAACAAATTGCTAGTTTGCTACCATGAACAGGTAAATTTAGTAGATATAAACCATCCAAGCAGGTCCACATAATAGTAAGCAATGAGACAGAAAAGTTCCATCAACCGATTTGCTTTTATAAATTTAACTTTTTTCTTTCCAGATAAAATGAAACTCAGAAAGAAGAAGCTAGGTACTGTACACGAAAAGGAGCCATAATAAAACAATAATTATCTCAATTTCAACCTTGATAAATTTGTAGTAAGCAAGAGAATTGGAGTGGTCAACAGTCAGAATCAATGTAAACATAATCTCCACAACATGAAAAATGCATACCAAATAAATTTATAAAAATAAAATAAAATAATGCATCTAAAACACTGTGCAATACTTAAGTTACCATGTGACATTGACACTATCATTTTCCTTATACGGTTAACACTGATGCACTGACCTTGCCAGACTTGTGATCAGGTATTCTGAAACTTAAAGCAGCTTTGGAACATGGCCAGACATTAGTGATGGTCACTTTTGTAGACACCTGCAGAACAAATAAATAAAACATGAAGCTGAAAAAGAGTAAAGCTATTGAGATTACAAAAATAAATATTTAACACCATCCTCCAAATACAAATAGGAGATGCACAAAACTGAATCACAAATATGGAAAAGCCACAAATGGTAGTCTTAAAAGCGAAATCTTCCATACATTAGAATAGGTATCAACTTTCAAATCCACTGTAGTATTTCCACTCTTGTACACAGTGTTTATGTCTCCAAAAAAATTTTGGTCCTTCTTGAGTCCTGTAGCTGTAAGTCCCTGCAAAAACGTTTTAAGATTGACATCAGATGACATAACAATCAAGTTGGTGGAAATTTAAATACAGTATTTTAAGATAACAAAACAATGAAGATTGTTTTGTTCGGTTTTCATTTTTCCTTTTAAAGGAAGTTATCAGTAAGAACTGTTTTGTCCATGTTAGAATATGTTGATGTAAAAGTGAATAGGATATCACAACCTTGAAAGTAAATACTTTTTGCAATCTCCAAATTCTGTTGATCTATTCAGAACGAAACTATTAGGAATTTGGTTTCTTGAGGCATAGATACCGACTGTTCTGCTCTTTTTTAGCTCCCTCTCCCCTACATGGTGTCTCTAGCTCTCCCTGGTTCTTGAATTTCTTTTTATTCCATGCTTCATAATCTTTGACTACCCACTGCTGGTTTCTCTAATTTCCTTTGCAGCCAAACTATCATATTTCTAATTTCCAGACCTTCAACCCTAAGTCCACCAAACTCAAATCATTCTTAGACCAACCTTAGACAAAGTGTTTGCAAAAATATGAAAATTACTTAGAACAACAGAAGAAAGAAGACAGATGACTTAATAGATGAACTAGTTATGTTGTACTATGTTACTTGGACTCGGGAGTTGGTGTTCAATACGTATGAGTTCAACACTGATACTTCAAATTTTTTCCAAGTTTTCCCCTATATTTGGAAGCATACAACCATACCCCTTTCCATCAAATATATGTTGGACAAGAGTAGTTTAAGGGGGGGTTTGGTTCATGGAATCTTAGATTTCGGAGGAAAACGTGATCCCCAAGAAAGTGTGATTCTGGGGGAAGTGTGCTTTTTCATGGCATCCCATTTTTAGATTCTTGTGTTTGGTTGGGGGGAATACGAGATTACTTAATCATGTATTTTCACTATAATGTCTTTTACTACATAATAAATACAACAATACGTCCATTACCACATTAATTTCATCCAAGAAACGCAGTATTTGAGCAGCCCATTATTAAAAAAAAAAAAAATAGTTATCAATTACTGCATTAATTTCATCCAAGACACGCAGGAAACGCAGTAATTGTACAAATACGATGAACAATTGCTGCGTTTAGCTTCAAAGAAACATAGTAATTGACAAACCATAATAAATGCTCATTAAATCAAAAGCCATCAAGTCAAACATATGAAAAAAATGCCAAATACTGCATAATGTAAGGAACAATATCCATTATATTTTAAAGGAACTAAAATTGATTATTTAACCTCTTATGGGAAGAAAATAAAAAGAAGTTCAGAGATTGAACCAAGAGAAATTGAAATGGCAGAATTTATATGGTATTTGTTTCTACATCCATACAAATTTTTAACAATGTCACCCATTTCAATTTTCAACTAAAACTTAGGCCACCCATAATCATACAATGTGATACTTACCAATTCCATTCCTTAAAAAAAAAGAGTAATGACTAGCAATAAAAAATTCAAATAATTATGAAGGCTTGTAGTGTTGGTTAAAAGACATAATGCTTCACATATACATGCACAACACAAACATCTAAGCACTAGAGAACAGCAAAAAGTATTATCATTCAATAATTTATTCCAAGTACATAAAATTGGAAAATTCCTTGAGAATAAGTTGCTCTTCTTCTATGTCTCAAAGATTGCAGTGCAGGAAGAGGTTCTATCGTTAATGTGCTGGGGAAGACCATTAAAAAAAATGCAATTTATATAAGGCCAGGCCAAGCATCCCATGAGCATATTGCTAACATTTGAAAACTAAAGAGATAATCATTCTGCCAATATTTAACAAACTAATTATGTATTCTAAGCTACTTCAAAAAAAAAAACTATATATTCTCAGCAATAACATCAATGGCATATTAAATCCTTGCAAAGCAAAAGATTAAAGCAAAAGGTTTAAGTTACCAAGTAGATCAATTAAGCTGTGGCCAAAAAATAAAAACTAAATCGATCAAGCAGCTCAATAAAAAGGATCAACAACTTTTAAGGGGGAACAATACCATTCCAGTGGAGCTCAGCATTGAGAGAGTGAATTTCTGGTCAAAGATGTAATCTTTTGTCAAGAGGTCTGCATAACACATTTATAAATGAGTACAATCTACAGGCGAAAGCAAATAACAACAGGTTTCAAATATCCCATGTCTGAATGAAAAGGCAAGTGAACAACTATGAATAGAATTGATAGGCACCAAAAGTTACAAATAGCATGAAAAGTTCCCGAAAATCTCCTACTAAAAAAGGCAATTCATTACATCAGTAAGATAGAAAGTAAAAATGATCAGTTAATCTTAACAGTGTAATAGTAAGTTAGTAACCAATTGTTTTGGTTGTCTGTCACATATACAACATTTTTTTTGTTTGTTAGGTGTTTGGCAAAAAATAACTGCACTAATCTTCCCTATTCCTCCATTGCAACCATCTCCATGCCTCCAAAAAAGCTGCTTGCCAGCTCCACTACACATTAAATCAGATTGACTTGCCAATAAACATTAACAAGTCATTTCTAGTAAAAGAATTAATATAACAAGCGATACCTTTGGCTTTTTTGCCCAAATCTACAAATGGAGCCGGTCCAGCCATCTTGATAGATAAATAATCAACCACAGCCTGAAAATACCATCAAGATAAAATCATCACTTCATCACTGGAAGACATCTATTTTAGAGGAAAACAAATCATATAGCAAATGCATGTGAAATTATAATGATACTTTTCTAGTTCGTAATTCTTTTCACATGTTGCATTAAGAAAAAATACTTTTCGCTTAACAAATCAAACTTTTACTTAGCCACGAATGTCAAACACTTTTGTTATCCATGAAAGTCTTACTTTTACTTATTCAATTCTTCAAAATAACTTTGATTCAGTATCCAAATATAATTTCAGCGTTTGTTAATAGAAAGCAAGTGTCTAAAGCAGCATGCAAATGGAGAAGCTAAAATTTTCGCTTCTACAAAGGATAGGACTATCGGGGAGGGTAACAAAGCCCCATTTATCTTTACTTTGCTACTTGAATTTTGCTTTCAAGAAGCTGCTAAAACAACAACACTCAATTCTGCCATAACCATCCTTTATAAAAGTAAATTCGTGCATTTTCTTCTGCAAAAATATATAGTACAATTTTTAAATTTTCATTCTTCAAAATTTTAATTTCTTTTGTATCCAATCACGTTTGTTGCGTCTTTCATCCCTACACCAAAAAAAATGTAACAAAAGCAACAAGCTAACAGTACCTAAATCAATGCCAGATTCATCATCCAGTTCTACGAATTTAAATTATATTATTTAAAAAAAGCTTTACAAGCCGAAATGCCAGCAAAATAGATGAACAATGAAAGAGGAAAAAATTTTAAAATTGAAGAGATTACGGCTGCGATAACACTTCGTTATATGAATCAAATTAGCTATACCAGTTCAAAAATTACATCCTAATCAAATAAGGTTTCAAAACACTCTCATCTAGATTCACTTCAAAACTTTAGTAACCTAATCACTAAAACAATAGCTGTTACGAATCAAAAAGGAAGAAAGACCTTACGAGAAAGATTGTGCAACGAGAAGAGACGATCGGCGACGAAAACCTAAAACGGCTGCTTCGACACCGCTCAGGGGAAAGCTACGATATTATTTAAAATGAATTTCAGTGTGTTGAAATGATTTTCAAGTCCAAAGGTCAAATTGGGTAGACTCTCAATAGGGGCGCGGTTTTAGGTCACTTTTTGAAAGGGGTGCTGAATCTTGGGTTTCGGTCGTAATATATCGAACTTCAAATTAAGTGATGAGAGAGCAGGATGTCTCATAAGTTAAAGGGTAAATATTAAAAATATATATAATTTTATTTAATTTATTAATTTAATAAATAAAAATTATATATTTTTTAATTTAAGAATATTAATTTATTTTATGAAATTAAATTAATTAATTACATTTAATAATTTATTTTTTTATTTTTTTATCATTACATTTATAATTATTAAAATTTTTTTTGGATAAGACATTTTAAACACATTTTGCATCTAATAATATGAATTTTATAATTATTTTCATCTCTTTACATTAATAATTTTTTTATTTAAAATTTTTTATAATTATTTTCATCTCTTTTAACTTAATAATATTTGCTTTATTTTAATTTTTTTTATGTTTGATTTTACTTTCCATTTTATTTAGAATTATCATAAAATTTTCTTAAGGTATTACGATAGCTCTAGCCTATTTTACATTAATGATATTAATTTTACGATTATTTTTCACTTTTTATGTTAACACTTATTTTTTATTTGAAATTAATTTTTATTTATATTAATAATTTTTAATTATCAATTTAATTATTTACATTATAATAATATGTTTTTATGCGTATTCTTATATTTTATTTCATTTAAAATTATCACTACTTTTTTTTAAGGTATAACAACACTTCTAATATATTTTTATGTCAAATGATACAAATTTTATGATTATTCTCACCTTTTTACATAAACACTTACTTTTTGATTGAATTATTTTTTATTTATAATAATAAATTTTTTATGTCGTTAACTTAATTATTTATGTTAGAATAACATTTTTTTTACGTATGTTCTTACATTTCTTACATTTATAATTATTATAACTCTTTTTTAAACTGCTATGATAATTTTTAATTATTTTCACCAAGTGATATTGATTTTACAACTATTCTTACTTTTTAACGTTAACACTCTTTTTTAGTTAAAAATTATTTTGAGTTTAATAATAATTTTTTTACATTGTCAACTTAATTATTGACATTACAATAATACATTTTTATGGTTGTTTTTGTTTTTTATTACATTTAGAATTATCACAACTCTTTTTTAGGATATTCAACATTTCTAACCTATTTTAAACGAAATGATATCAATTTAATATTTATTCTCATCTTTTACATAAACATTTATTTTTTGGTTTAGAATTATTTTGTATTTATAATAATAATTCTTTTATATTGTCAAGCTATTTATTTACATTACAATAATATTTTTTATACTTGTTCTTATCTTTTATTACGTTTAAAATTATCACAATTCTTTATTAGAATGTTACAATATTTTTAACTCATTTTATGCCAAACAATATCAATTTTACGCTTATTTTCACATTTTTATATTATGATACTTTTAGCACATTTTATGTTAAGTTATACTAATTTTATGATTATTTTTACCTTTTTTTGTAAATTCTTATTTTTTATTTAGAATATTTTTTATTTATATAATAAGTTTTTTATGTTGTCAACTTAATTATTTACATTACAATAAATGTTTTTACATTTGTTCATACCTTTTATTATATTCAAAATCATCATAATTTTTTCTTAAGTATTATAACATTTTGAATATATTTTATACTAAATTATACCAATTTGACTATTATTTTCACATTTTTTACTTTAACATTTATTTTTTAGTTTAGAATTATTTTTTATTTATATTACTATTTTTTTGCATTACAAAATCATTACGTTTTTATGTTTGTTATTACTTTTCATTACATTTAAAATTATTATAATTTTTTGTTAAGGTGTAACGATATTTCTAACCATTTTACATCAAATAATACTAATTTTATGATTATTCTCATTATTTTATGTTAAATTTTATTTTTTTAAAATTATTTTTTATTTTTAATGACCAATTTAATTACTTATGTTATAATAATATCTTTTCACGTTTGTTGTTACTTTTTATTACGTTTAGAATTATCATAATTTTTTTAAAAGGACTTACAACATTTTCTAACATTTTACGTCAAATAATACTAATTTTATGATTACTTTCATATTTTTATATTAACACTTATTTTTTGGTTTAGAATTATTATTTATTTATAATAATTATTCTTTCATGTGTCAAAAATAATATTTATGTTAAAATAATTTTTTTATGCTTGTTCCTACTTTTTATTACATTTAAAATTATCACTACTCTTGGTTAAGTTGCCACGACATTTCTAATCTAATTTATGCTAAGTGACACCAATTTTACAACTATTCTTACCTTTTTACGTTATAATACTTCTAACATACTTTACGTCAAATGATTTCAATTTTATAATTATTTTCATATTTTTATGTTAATATGTATTTCTTTTTAGAATTATTTTTATTTATAATAATAAACTTTTCATGTTATCAGTCTCATTATTTATATTACAATAAAATCTTTTACGCTTGTTCTTACCTTTTATTATATTTAAAATTATCACAATTTTTCTTAAGGTATTATGATATTTCTAATATATTTTACACCAAATGATATCAATTTTACAATTATTCTCACTTTTTTATGTTAATACTTATTTTTTATTTAGAATTATTTTTATTTATAATACTATTTTTTTACATTATCAATTTATTGTTACTTTTATTATGTTTAGAATTATTATAATTTTTTCTAAGGTGTAATGATAATTCTAACAATTTTACATTAAATAATATCAATTTTACAATTATTCTCACTATTTTATGTTAATTCTTTTTTATTTAAAATTATTTTTTATTGGTAATAATAATTTTTTATATTACCAATTTAATTATTTATGTTAAAATAATAATTTTTTATGATTATTGCTACCTTTCATTATGTTTAGAATTACTAAAAACTCATTGTTAGGGTGTTACAACACTTCTAACTTATTTTACATTAAATAACATCAATTTTACGATTGTTATAACATTTTTATGTTGCAATGCTTCTAACATATTTTACACTGAATGATACTAGTTTTACGAGTATTCTCACATTTTTATGTTAACACTTATTTATCTATTTAGAATTATTTTTTAGGTTAGGATAATAGATGAAATTCTAAAAAATCTAGCAAAAAAGGAAAAGAAAAAGAAAAAGTTGATGAAATTTTTAAAGAAATAAAAAATAAAAGGAAGAAAAAGTTAGAGAAAAAAATAAAAGAAGTCATAAAAAATCAAAAGAAGAAGAATTTTAGCAGTTTTAAAATACTTTTTATTTTATTTAATAAATAATATTTAATGTTAATTAATTAAAATTAAGTTAACAAGTTAACAGGTAATTAATTATTTTTACACTTAAAAAATAATCAATGGTTTATATTAATTCTTGTATATCTAATAGTTATTATTTAATGATCTTATAACAAAGTCAAAAAATTTTAACTTATTGTAAAAATTCCCATGAATCTTTGATTTGATTAGAGATTTTTGTTATCAAAGTTAGATGGGGATTGTGATGTTAATATGTTATTGGTTTGTGAGATATGGGGTGTCACTGTCATGTCAAATTAGGCCAAAAGATATGAGTGATACTATTTACACCCCAAGTTCTTCTCTTCACACCCTATTAGTATTAACATCTATTAGTTTTTCTCTTCACACCCTAAAACAAACACACATTTACTAAAAAATCCAAACACCCATATCCTTACACCTCCATTTTCTTCAACCAAAAACCCTAAACCTTTTAAGGATTAAGCCCCAAATCAAGCCCTAATCATCCATTTGACATAAATAGCTTAGAATTATAGGTAAATTATTCATATTTTTTATTTTTTCATTTGATTTTGTATTTAATTTCAAAAAATTTAAGATTTTAAGTTTTTGGGTGTAATTTTAAGGTGTGATTCGAGCATTCTATAAATGAATTTCTAGAAATTGTTGAAGATTTCAAGAAATGGATATCTGAAATATCTTCAATGTATCGAAAATTTATTTTTGAAATCCCTTAAAAAATTTTGGACATCCATTTCTGAAAACCTTTAAGAAATTTTGGAAGTGTATTTCTAGAATTTCTCAATAATTTTTGGACATTCATTTTCGAAATCCTTCAAAAACTTTCGAAAATGAATTTTCGATACATAATAATTTTGCACTATAAGGAACATTAACCATGACAATATCATTAATAGACTAGTAAATCTAATAATAGAGACCTCTAATCTTTCCGCTACCAAGAACTGTCCATTTAATAATGTTTGCAACATTTTTATAATTCTAACAAACGCGTATCTAAAAGAAATCGCTAACTGTGAAGAGACGCTTGTGCAAGTTAGTTGTAGTATCATGTGCAATAAAATGTGATTACCTTATTACACATGGTGCAATAGCCATTTACATGACCTTTTCTTCATAATTATCGATTCTTTTTATATGCACATTTGTTAAAATTGAAAAAAATATTACAAACATTATTGAACGAATAGTACGATCGAAAGATTAGAGGTTTTTACTATCAAATTTAAATAGCTTATACCTCAGAGAAATCATTAGAGATCTGTTTTGAGATAGCACAAAGAATCATTCGATATTCTCACATCTAACACTGATCAAGAGATTATAACAAGAAAATTGAAGTAAGAATTACTTTTGAAAATTAATTTTTGGATAATTGTAATGCTTTTAAAAAATGCATCTTCGAATAATTACAGTGCTTTTCAAAAATATATTTTTGAATAATTGTAATACTTTCTAAAAATGTATTTTTTGGTACAATAAAATATTTTACAAAAATAAATTTTTAATACATTAAAAAAATATTCAAAAATGAATTTTTAATATTTAAGTAACAATAGATTTGAATGACGAAAATATAATTAATTAATGGATATTTACGTAATTTTTTTTAAAAATTAATTTTTTGAGATATATTGGAAATTTTTTGGGGTGCAAATAGCACCACGTAGAAGATATTAGAGGTTTGTATCAAGGAAAAGACGTGAGCAGAAGGGCGAAGATGGAAATGACGTTGGTGTCCTGGAATTGGTGGCTACTGGCTATGGCTCTTTTGCCTTGCTGGCTCGTT